GAGCAGTGGGGGTGGGGCTGTGAAGGGGTGGGAGGGGGTTAGTGGAGCAGTGGGGCTGTGAAGAGGGGGAGGGGTTATTGGAGCGGTGGGGGTGGGGCTGTGAAGGGGTGGGGGAGGGATTATGGGGGTAGGGAGTTTGTGACAGGCTGGAGGATTGGGGGGTTCCCTTCTCCTCTGTCAAGAAGACATTCTTGGTGGGGGGGTGGAACGGGGGCATCCGTCTATCCCAGACTAAGGCCCCCCGCCCCCCCACTAACACCCCCCCACCCCTCAGGTGTCAGAGCTCCGCCAGCAGCTGCGCCAGCGCGGGCTGCCAGTGTCGGGCACCAAGCCAGCCCTGCTGGAGCGGTTGAAGCCCTTCCAGGTGCGGGGGGGCCCCGGGGCCGCCCCCCCCGGCCTTGCCCCCCGCCGACCGGGCGCTGCGGGAGAAGCAGCGGCTCATCGACAGCCTCACCTGGGAGCTGCAGCGGGAGCAGCAGGAGGCCGACGACCTGCGGGAGGAGCTGCAGCTGCACAAGTGCCGGCGCGGCCGCCCGGAGGGGGAGCCCCTGCCCCCCTCACCCCCGGCCAGCCACGGCCCCCAGACCCCCGCCGGGGAGACGCCCGAGGGCACAGTGCCCGGGAGAGAGGGGTTCCTGGTGAGAGCTGGGGGCGTGGCGTGTGTGCCAGGGGCGGGGCTTGTATGCTGGGGGCGGGGCATGATCAGGGCAGGGAGGCTGGGCGAAATGGGAGGGGCATGGCAGTGGGTGTGGTCATACCATAATTGGAGTGGGTGGAGCAGTCAGAGAGGGCGGGGCATCTCAGGGGAGAGGCTGAGGGGGCGGAGTCATGACAAATTGGGAGGGGAGGGGCACTGGGGGGGAGGCGGAGCCATGCTAAGGAGGCAAGGCCATAGGGCCATGTGGGGAGCAGGAGATGAGCTGGGGGAACCTCAAATTTACCCCCATGTCCATCCCCCCCTCAGGTTTTTTGTCCCCCTTCCTGTGAGCCAATCGGGGAGGACCTAGAACTGCCCCTGCAGATCACGGCCAGTCCCGCCCCAGGCCCCCGCTCCCTGGAGGAGGAGCTGCAGGAAGCCATCCAGAAAGCCCAGGTACGGGGGGGGGGGGGGGCCCCCCATATACCCAGCCCCCACGCCCCACCCCAGAGGGGCTGTGTCCCCGTCTCTGCCCTTCACTCCCTTTCTCCCTCCCCGTCCGCAGCTGGTCCCAAGTCAGTCGATCGAAGACATCCTGGAGGAGCCGCTGGCGTGTGCAGGTGAGACCCCGGGTACCCCCACTCCCCTCGCCCCCCTGTCCCAGCCTGGTGTATGGGGTGCCATGGTGCAGGGAGTGGGGCGGGGGCTCAGCAGGGGGTGGTGGGCTGTGGGGAGCAGGGTGGGGGGCTCAGCAGGGGGCGCTGGGCTGTGGGGAGCGGGGCAGGGGCTCAGTGGGGGGCGCTGGGCTGCAGGGAGCGGGGCGGGAGGTGGGGCTTTGAAGGGGTGGGGTAGGGGGCTCAGCGGGGGGACGCTGGGCTGCAGGGAGCGGGGCGGGAGGTGGGGCTGTGAAGGGGTGGGGTAGGGGTCTCAGCAGGGGGCGCTGGGCTGTAGGGAGGGGGTGTCATTCAGCATCCCATGTCCATCTAACCCCCCCCGCCCCCTCTCCAGGTGATCTGCTCCCCACAGAGCCACGCCGGCCCCCCTCGCCCCTCAGCCAGCAGGAGGCGCCCTGCAAGAAGCCCCGTCACACCCCGCCGGCAGCAGCCATCTTGGATTTCCCCGGCCACTACGACTTCCTCACCCCTCCCTCCTCCTCCTCCTCGTCCCCCTCGGACTCCCTGCGTGGGATCTTCTCCCCGGAGCCCCCGGAGGGGCCCCCGTCGCCCAGCCCCCGGCCCGCCTTCGACCCCGTCGATTGGCTGGAGGCCTTGACAGCTGGCCCGGCCTCGGGGCTGGGGTCCGGCACCCCCGGTGGCAGCAGCATCTTCTCCACTGATTTCTTTGACTCGCCTGAACTGAGCGTCAACCACATGATTGACCTGATGGTGGAGCAGTGGTAGAGGGTGCGGGCCCCCCCGGCCTGGCCACAGGGAGCCCCCCACCGCCACCCCAGAGACGCCAACAAATCACACCAATGCAGGTGCCCATCTTGGATCGGTAACGTCAACTCCAGGCGCCATCTTGGATGGGAGGAACCATAGTTTGTAGTGACGCCAAAACTGGGCGCCATCTTGGATGGTGGAACCATTGTTCAGGGTGACATCAACTCCAGGCGCCATCTTGGATGGGTGACGTTAACTCCATCTTGAGTGAGTAGAAGCATTATTCTCGGTGACGTCAACTCGCGGCACCATCTTGGATGGGTGGAACCCTTGTTTGGTGTGACCTCAATTGCAGGTGCCATCTTGGATGTGTGGAACCATTACTCAGGGTGACATCAATTCCAGGTGCCATCTTGGATGGGTGAAACCATTGTTTGGAGTTGACATCAGCTCGGGATGCCACCATTGATCGGTGAAGCCAACGGATGCTATGTTGGGTGGATGAAACCATTGCTTGGGGGTGATGCCAACTCCAGACACCATCTTGGATGGGTGTAGCCATTTTACTGGGTGATGTCAACACTGGATGCCATCTTGGATGGATTAAACCATTGCTGTTTTGGTTGTCAGCCCCAAAGGACATCTTGGAAGGATCAAACTGTTGGTGTTTAGAGTGATACGGCGGGTGGCTGCCATCTTATATAAATCATACCATAAGTGTTCAGGGTCACATCAGCTCTTGAATGGGTTAAGCCATTGTTTGGGGGTGATGCCAGCTTCCACCACCATCTTAAATGGATCAGACCACTGATGTTTGAGTCACGTCAGCTCTAGGTGCCATCTTGGATTGGTCCAGTCATTGGTGCTTGGGGTGATGCCAAGTCCAAATGCCCTCTTTATTTGGGCCGTACCATTTAATTGAACCTAAGTGTTTCATTGGCAGGCGGAAGGCAACTCCACCTGTGGGATGCCATCTTGTTTGGGACATACCACCTTTGACTCCAGTGTCTTATTGACCAGAGGGGAGGATGTGGAAACCATCTTAGTTTGGATTGTGCCATCTTTGTACCTAGCTGGGTTGGGAGTGGAGAAGCCAACTCTAGATGCCATCTTGGATGGATCATACCATTTGTTTTTTACCTCATGTTTTACTGGCAGAGGGGGGTGGGGAAATGGCAACTGTAGACGCCATCTTAGTTGGACTGTACCAGTTGCTGAGCCTAGTGTTCTATTGGGGGCTGCCCCACTCCCGCTGCCCCCCCGGCCCTTTTCACTCCCCCCCCACTGGGACCGGGTCCCCCCTCCTCCCACCCAGGCTGCCCCCCAGCTCCTGGCCCTCTCCCATTTACACCCAGTCCCCCCCACCCTGCTCATCACTGTGCCCTGCCTGCTAATTAAGGGGTGGGGAGTCTCTGACCACTGGTGAGGGGGCAGCTCCCTAAGGGGGCTGATCTAGTGGGGGAGGGGTCATACCACAGGGCGGGGAGGGGGGAGCTGACAGTGGCCAAAGGCTACTGAGAAATGTGGACTTACTGGGTGATAGGGCACTGCTGTGGGGAAGCTCGCAGCCCTTGGAACAGCCCCCTTGGGGCACTGCCATGGGGAAGCTCACAACCCCTTCGAGGCACTGTCGTGGGGAAGCTCACAGCAGTGCAGTTCAACTCCTGTTTGCTCCCCAGAGTGGGGGCAGGGGCCGGGAGAGCTCCCACCATCACTGGGGGGGGGGGCAGTGGGGGTTCTGGCCTCCCATGAGCCCCAATCTGCTGGGGGGTGAGTAGAAACCCCAACTTATATCCAATCCCTCCCCAATTCACCTGGAACTGCATAGCCTTGTTCCAATCCCCCACCCCAGCTCCACAGCTCTGATGGTTCGGCCCACAAGGGTCAGGGAGGCCCCTCCCCCAAGTGCTGGCTGGGGGGGGTCAGTTGAGGGGGGACCCCTGGAAGCCAAGCTGATCCCCCCACACAATAAAGCCCCTTCCCACTGCACCGGCTGCCTCTGTGGTTTTTAACTCCGGCTGGGGGGGGGTAGCTGAGGGGTGGTCCATAGGGAGGGAAACTGAGTCACACTGAGCTAGGAATAGAATTCAGGTGTCCTGGCTCCCAGCTCCACCCCCCCACCCAGAGGCGGGGACAGGACCCAGGAGTCTGGGACAACAGTGCATTGGCAATAAAATCTTGTCTATTTAAAAGTACCGGGGGGGGGGGGTTCCGCCCCCCCCCCCCCCCCCGGGGGGGGGGGGGGAGCGGGGGGGGGGGGGGGGGGGCTCTGGAGTGGGGGGGCGGGTCACGTCTTCAGCGGCCCCCCCTGGCTGCCACCGTCCTTCTCTGGCACCTCCTGCTGGCGGCGATAGAGCCAGGCGCTGTAAGGGAGGGGAAGGGGAGGGCGGGTTAGGGAAAGGAGACGGGGGGGAGCTGTTTGGTGGGCGGGACAGAGCCAGCACCTGCCCCCCACCCCAGCACGGGCCTTGCCCCCCAGCCTCCCCCAGACACGCAGCCCCTGGCACATGGGGGCCCTGCCCCCTGGGGGGAAGGGTGGGGGGGACCCCGGCGTCCGGACTCACCAGCCCCCGATGAGCAGTAGGACCAGCCCGGCGCTACTCCCGATGATGACCCAGACGGTCCAGTCTCCAGGGCCCCCCGGGGGGGTCGGGCTCCGTGATGGGGGGGGCAGCGTCAGGGGCCCCAGCAGGGGCGGCGCAGGCGGTGGGGTGCTATTCCCCGGCAGGGGGGTCACTGCAAGGGGGAGGGGACAGGCGTTAGAGGGAGGCAGGGCTGGGAGCCAGGACTCCTGGGTTCTCTCCTGGCTCTGGGAGGGGAGTGGAGGCTAGTGGTTAGAGAAGCGTGGGTGGGGGGGCGGCTGGGAGCCAGGACTCCTGGGTTCTGTCCACCTCACCTGTCACCTGGAAGCGCAGCTCGGAGCAGACCCAGCCCTGGGCGTTTAGCATCTCACAGCGATAGCGCCCCGAGTCGTTCGCTGTCGCCTCCTTCTTCACGAGGAAGGCGTCGGGGCCCATGACCATGACCTGCTCCGAGCCCCCCACCGCCTGCGGGAGAGACACGGGGATCAGGGAGGCTGCAGGTCGGGAGTGAGGGGCGCCGGCAGAGCTTTGGGGGGAGCCCAGGGGGCTGCAGGTCGGGAGTGAGGGGCACCGGCTGGGCTGGTAGGGGCTGCGGGTCGGGAGTGAGGGGCGCCGTACCCGGTAGAAGCGGTAGCTTTTGGCACCGTAGCTGGCGCGGTGCCAGGTCAAGGCACAGTCCAGGATCAGGTCGTCGTCCTGCTGGACCCGCAGCCTCCGCTCTGCTAGAGACCCAGATATCAGAGCCCATATTCCCCCCCCCACCCCCGGCAGGGCTCACCCACTCTAGTAACCCCCCCCAACCCCAACAGTGTGCCCTGGGTCACAGCAATGGGCCCATCCACCCCGGTACCCCCCTCAGATGAGAGCAATGGGCCCATCCATGCCAGCCTGCCCCCTGCATCAGAGTGGGCCCATCCATTCCAGTACTCACCCCTGCCCCCGGTCAATGGGCCCATCCAGTCCAGCTTCTGACAGTAGCCAGAGTTAGATATAGAAGACCCCCCTCGTTACCCACAATGCACCTGGCCACGGTGGGGATGGGGGGAATTTTCCTTCCTGACCCTGCTGGAGAAGCTGGGCCCTGGAGCCTGGGAGTGAAACCCCAACACAGGCTGGAGGCCTCTAGACCCACCCATCCCTTCACAGCCGACCCCCATCCCCATCATCTGACCCCTCCATCCCTTCCCAGGCACCCCCCACTCACCCCCACAGCGCAGGTCCCGGTTGCAGGAGTAGAGCTCGGTGCCGCAGGCCCGACAGTCGATGAACTGGTGAACCATGCGCCCTGCGGAGGGGGGGGGTCAGAGCCCGGGGGGGAGGTCAGGGCCCGGGGGTTCAGGGCCCCAGTAGCTAGGGTGGGGTGAAGGCCCCCCAGGGGTAAGGTTGGTGCCGGTGTCCCGGGAGTCAGAACCTGACTTGCTGGGGGAATTGGACCCAGGCGTTCCGGGGCTGCCGGGGGGGGGGGGTCCCCGGGGGGCGGGGGGGGGCCCCCGGGCGGCGGGGGGGGGTTAGCATTAGGAGGTCAGGGCGCCCTAGCCTGGAGTGCAGTCAAGGATAGGACCCTCCCAGCACGGGCACCCCTGACCCCCCAGGGAATCAGAGACAGGATCCCTGGAACCCCCCACCCCTCCCCCAGGATCTGTCCCTCCCCCCCACATCCCCCCTGGCTCCCACTCACCACACTTATTCGGGCAAAAAACTGCAAAACAAGAAGGAAGAAGAAGGGTGAGAAATGGGGCTCATCCCTCCCCCCCATCCCCTGGGGAACAGGGCTGCGGGTCGGGAGTGAGGGGCACCGGCAGAGCTGGGGGGAGCCCAGAGCTGGACTAGCAGGGGGTTGCGGGTCGGGAGTGAGGGGCACCTTCCTCCTCACCCTCTCTCTGGAATCGGGCCATGAGGGTTGTGAAGGTCTCTCTCAGCTCCTGCAGGCTCCACATCACCTCGTTGAAGAGTTGCCCATCTGCAGAGCAAGCAGTGCGCTGTGAACACCACACAGGACAGTGCTATGGCCCCATACAACTGGGCAGCCATGTGGGCGTGGCTCCCGTCTAGACCCGCCCATAGCGCTCAGCCACTCCAGCCCCACCCCTCAGATCCGCACCATGTGACTCAGCAGCGCAGCTCCGGCCCCGCCCCATCGTTAGGTTCAAGAGGCAACAGGGGAATTTAACTGAAAACTAGACGCCCCTCCCCCACACCAAAGCGGGGCCCTTCCCCCATATCCCGCCACCCACATTCAGAGCAAACGCCCCCCCCCCCCCCCGCGAAAAGACCCTCGCCTAGAATCGACCCACGTCGTCTAAGCGGTTCAGGTTTCAAAGGGTTAATCGAGTTGCAAAACCGCAGAGCAGCCAGCAGGGGGCGCTGCCTCATTAGCAATAGGAAGGGGGAGCCCAGGGCTGGGCTAGCAGGGGGCTGCGGGTCGGGAGTGAGGGGCACCGGCAGGGCTGGGGTGGGGGGGAAGGGCCGGGCTAGCAGGGGGCTGTGGGTCGGGAGTGAGGGTCACCGGCAGAGCTATGGGGGGAGCCCAGGGCCGGGCTAGCAGAGGCTGTGGGTCAGGAGTGAGGGGCACCGGCAGAGCTATGGGGGGAGCCCAGGGCTGGGCTAGCAGGGGCTGTGGGTCGGGAGTGAGGCGCACTGGCAGGGCTGGGGGGAGAGCCCAGGGCTGGGCTAGCAGGGGGCTTCAGGTCGGGAGTGAGGGGCACTGGCAGGGCTGGGGGGGGGGGGGGAGGGCCGGGCTAGCAGGGGGCTGCGGGTCGGGAGTGAGGGGCACCCCGGGGCTGGTACCTTTGAAGTCATTCTCCATGATTCGGGTCACGGCCCGTCTGAAGTGGGCGGCAGCTTCTCCCATCGTCTTCTCGTCTGGGGGAGGTGACATGTTAGTGGGGGGGCAACAAAGGGGATGAGACCCAAAGCTCTGGGATCGCGCCCCCCTCCCGACAGCCGCCCCCTCCTAACATCCCCCCAACTCCCTCTCCCTCCTCCCTCAGGGCTGTGTTGGGGTGGCGGGGGAGGGGCCCCTGCGCACCAATGACCCCCATGTAGCTCTGCTCCCCGATGGGCAGCTCCGCCAGCCCCTGGAGGCTGCGCTCGAGCAGGGCCTCCAGCCGCGCCCGCAGGTCCGGGTCCCCCCGCAGCTGCTGGCCCAGGTAGGGCCCCTTCAGCTCCCGCAGCAGCCGCATGGAGCCGGGGTCACAGCGCAGGCAGCCCCGGCCCCCAGAGCCCCCCAGCGCCCACAGCGCCAGCCACACCGCCCAGGCCATGGCCTGCCGCTGGGGGGCGACCTCGCGCCGCCCCGCCCCTCTGCCTCGCGGCCAATCGCCTTCGGCACCCACCCCTGACATCACAATGGCCTGGCCAATCACATGCCAAGATTAAACCCCTCCCACCCTGACCTGGGCGAGGGGTCCCCATATACCCAGCCCCTGCCCCACCCCAGAGGTACCACATCCCAGCACCAGGCGAGGGGTCCCCAGATACCCAGCCCCCGCGCCCCACCCCAGAGGAGCCGCATCCTGGCACTGGGCGAGGGGGCCCCGGATATCCAGCCCCCGGGCCCCACCCCAGAGGGGCTGCGTCCCGGCGCCGGGCGTGTGAAATCCGAGCTCCTTTAGGGCGACAGGCGTCTCTGATTCGGGGTTAATCCCACCTGCCTTTCCCTTCCCCCTCCAAGCTGAGTCCCAAATGGCTGCTGTGTCCCCCCCAGCCCCCCGCTGAGCCCCCGGCCCCTTGG